GCCGCCCGCTTGTGGGCGCCACTCCCGTTTCGGCGCACCCCTCACACGCTTCGGGGCCCCATAGGGAGCTCCACCTACGGCCCCAGTGGCGCCGCCCGCATGTGGGCGCCACTCCTGTGTCGGCGCACCCCTCACACGTTCCGTGGCCCCACAAGGAGCTCCAGCGAAGGCCCCAATGGCGCAACCCGCATTTGAGCGACACCCACGTCTCGGCACACCGCTTACACGTTTCGTGGCTCCTCAGGGAGCTCCACCGAAGGCCCCAGCGGCACAGCCCGAATGCGGGCAGTGCCCCAAGGGAGTTCCTATTAAGACGGTACTCACAATTGCGATACTCACAACCGCATTTGGTTGGCTTTTTCGACCGGCTAAGTTTTCGAGCCGGGCGTCTTCGCCCAGATTCGGGCCCTGGGAAACTCGCAGATCGATCCGACTCCAAAAATGGCGCAGAAAGATTGTGTCCAGGGCTATGGTCGTGATTGTTCACGGTGTGGCATTTTTTCCGAGACGACGGATCTCAAGGAAGGGATATAAATTATAAAGCCCTAGCAGAAAGGCATTCAGCCAGATTAGGCCAGATTGCGTTCGGGAGTAAGACGGATTGTGCGGGATTGGGAAAAGGATTCCGCAACATTCTACCCGAATGGCGCAGCTTCCAGCCGCGGCCATACTAGCGCCGATGCTGCCTCGAGCCTCCCAGGAGCTCTTGCATCGTAAGAGAAGGACCCAGGTCCCCTTGGGTTCGGGGATCGAGCTTGGGGGGTCAAGGTTCTCAGTCGTTTTGGGCCCCGGGAAGGCCCTCTCGTTGTCGCAGCTGGAGTCGCCTAGAAATGCTGGCCAGACCGCGCATGTGGCCACGTCTGGGGGCGACCCCCAGACCCAGGAGTCGTGAAAATCAGGATGAATGCGGTGTGGCAATTTTCGGCTTCCTGAGGCCCTTGCCAGGCCCGCGGCCGTCAGAAACTGGTTCAGGATGAGAAGCCCGTCGCGAGACGTCGAGACCTCTGGGGTCCAGGTCATGAAAAACACGACGTCTGGAATCTGGTGAAGAAGGAGATGACGAGGGGAGCGTCGGCTCAAGACACTGTTCCTTCCTGCAGCGTCTCTTAATATCTGCGCTTGACGAGTCACCTCTAGGGCGTATCGTGCGCCTGAGACACGAGTCAATCCAGTTGCAACGAAGTTTATGCCACCCACCCTGTGCTGTGAAGGCAAACGTGCATACGCAGCCGAAGTACAATGACATTGAAGATGCCAATATCTTGTGGATTCCAAGTGCTCCCCCGTGGCCGTTGGAACTCTAGTTCAAGCTCCCACACCAGTCACGTAAGCCTAGTTGGCATGCAGGCTAGCAGTTATAGAAGCACTCCTGGTGCCCAGGTAATCCACAGGGGAGGGACTTGGGGCAGGTCGTGTCGTGCGGACTTGCGTGTTGGTTTCTGACACCGCGTGGCACCTTCAATCTTGAATGATGGCATTTTTCGATGGCGCCGATCGCTCGATATCGTCAGATACCATGCCAATATCAGCATTTAACCTTGAACGCCAGCGTCGGGGTCGCCGTCGCGTCGACACAATACGAGCCGACCGTACCCTTAACCAAACAAAACTCCACGGGGTCCCGCCTACCGTTTGGCTGCTGGCTTTCCTTGCCCGACGCCCTGTGTCCCCTGCAAGGACCCGACACTGGATAACACTTTCGAGTATCCATGCCCATCAAGACGCGTGGAAGAGGCCAATACTGGCCATGGCGAGATGATCCCGTGAGTCCGTGAGTCTCCCCATGGTCTAAGACAGCCGCCCCGAGAGGCTACACTGCCACAAGCATTCTTGTTCAACTGATTGCTGGCCCTCGTCGCCTTCCATCAGATATCCGGCACCCTGGAAAGCTCGCCCCTGGTAGACCTCGGAAAAGGCCCTCAGGACAGACCCCAGGCAGGGCCTCCAAGCAAGAGCCTCCACATAAAAGGAGCCTCTCAGAGGCAACAGGGCGCCTCCACAGAAGCCACCAAGCGAATGGCCCGATTCGCTGAAGCGCCCCCCACCCATGTGTTTGCCCGTCACGAGCTGCGCCCCCAAGCTCCCAGGACTCCGCCTCGGACCCGCAGGAGGCCTCAGCGAGAGACCCCCAGGCTGCTTCCTGCGGAAGGCACAAAACCAAAACGACCTCCAGGTTGACCCCAGATTGCGTCCGAGGGGGGCGACGCTGACCCGCTCCAGAGACCTGGAATCAAGCACACACTGCGCGTCTTGAGATCGCATGTGTTGCGTCCGCCGACTCAACCTTTCGCTTGCGCCGGCTCGACCTTCGCGAGCTCCTGCCCGCGAAGCCGCCCTGACAATGCTTCCGCAGCCCTCCGCAGCAGGCCATCCGCCATCTTGCTCCTTGGTGAAACACCCAGACCCCAAACACCGTAGTGCTTTGTCACAACGTGTGGCCCCCTTGGGGTCGATCCCTTCTTCTTCCCCGGGACAGGATTTTCACCTGGAGCCGTTCTAAAACTATCCTGGAGCCCCGCGAGGGCCCAACAGAGCCAAAGCATGCCCCCCAACTCTCATGTTTCGCGCGATGCGAAAAGGCTTGTTTCCGGGGCTCAGAAAATGGCGCCCTCCTGGGCCCATCTGTGGGCGCCATTTGGCCAGGATCTCGAGGCGAGTCCTTCCTATGACGACGAGGGGCTTCCACGAAGCCCCACCCCCGAGCTCGATCTCCTCAAACATCGAGTGCCAAGGCGGGTGCATCACTTCTTTTCTCCTGATCTTGCCTCGTTGTGCGGTCAAACGGGCCTCCTGGCCCCTCCTGTGAGGGGCAACTAGAAGGTGCGGGACTGGCTCTCGCGGGGAAGCGTCGACCTGGAACCGGCGATACCTCGCCGATGGGCCTCCGATAGCAAAGCCGCGGCTTCCTGGGCGGGGTGAGCAATCGGGCCCCCATCGGCGATGACTGCGCGATTGCGGGTCGGTGCGCTCTGTCCCCCGAACGTTGCCGGTGACAGGTGCGGTCGGGCGGGCCTCCCTGGCCCCCGTTGGGAGGGAGGAGAGGCGAGGAGGCCGCACTCCAAAAACTCGCACTTGGGGGCGGAAATGTTGCAGCAACATCGCAGTGAATGAACGCACTGAACGAAGCCGCGCAATCATTGCATCAACATCGCCAGCATAGGGTGCAGTGCGGAGGTGGCCGCAAGAAACCGTCGCAAGAAATCCAGCCCTGAACAACCGCAAACGCGAAATGCAAGTGGGAGGTGACCCCGAAGCAGCCTGAACGCAGCAGCTCCTCCAAATGCCGCAGAAGTCACCACGCAGCGCGTGGAGCGAAGAAACCCAGGGTACCCTGCTGAAAAGCACTCGGTTTCTTGATGCGCGTCCGAACTGCAGCGTCATGCAGATGTGGGCAGGACGTATATCCATATCCGCTGCACCTTTGAGTTGCGGGCTGCCTTCCCCAGGCACTCAAGGCGCAGTGGACATGGACAAACATCTGGCCCTGCAGAGGCTAGAACTTTATATCCGTATCCTTTGCGCCTCGGCCCTTCCCAGAAAGTCTGAGACGCAGCGGATGTGGATCGAATTCTTCCCCGCCGCAGGTGGGCCCGGGGGGCGGCAGAGCGCCGCGGAGAGGGCGGCGCGGGCCGCTCCCCCCCCCAGTGACACACACACACACACAAACACAAACACACAAACACACAAACACACAAACACACAAAACACACAAACACACAAACACACAAACACACACAAACACACACAAACACACACACACACACAGATGGCGGGCGCAGGGGCGGCGCGGCGAGCTGGCGCTCTGCGCAATTCTGGCGGGGGAGAGGAGGAGGAGGAGGAGGAAGAGGCGGACAAGGACCGGTCTAAATCCAAGATGCACCAACGATGTTGCAATACACTCTCCCTCCAGGTTCCCTCTTCATAGGTGAAACAAATGACCTCTATTGCGGGAAGTGTCCTATTAGAAGGCAGTCGTCTGAGAATCATTGCTGGTGCTGCCCAAACGCAGTTCCTGCGACTTCGGCGCCGCGGGCGAACGCGACTGCTGCGTCCGGAGAAGCCTGCGCCGTGCAAAAGCACCACGAGGAGGAGGAACCAGAGCTCACACGTGATGGTTCTGATGGTCTTCAGCGCCGCGGGCGAACGTGACTGCTGCGTCCGG